GGGAAATTTAAAGGCAGAAATTAAATTAGACATCTTAAAGTTGGATCAAAAAATTGAAACAATACAGCAAGCACTAGAAAGGAATGAATTAACAATAAAGGAGGTTGAGAAAAGGACGGAACAAACGGAAAAGAAGCTGGAAATGGTTAGTGAACAATTAAGAAATGTGAGTAAAGAAAGGGACGACTCCTTGGTATATCTGGAAATGGACAAGGCTGCAGCAAATCTGAGATTCCAAAATATAATGGAATCTAAAGAAGAGGACTTAGAACAAGTGATGGCAGGAATATTAGCAGACCTATTGGAAAAGGTAAGGATGATATTCTGAAAGAGTTAGACAAAGTATATAGAGTGAGCACAAATTACACAAGATGACATAAACATCCAAAAGAGGTCCACGTGAGATTTGCCAGAAGGAGTTTGAGATATTATATACAAAATTTCTAGAGAAGAAACAATTACATATAAAGGAAAAGAAATCTTGGTGCTTAAAAAAATCCCAAGAAGAGTGAGAGAGCAGAGGCGAGATTATAAATTCATGGTGAACCAATTAAATCAAAAAGGTATTATATTCAGATGGCTAATCCCAGAGGGAATGCTAATCACTTGGAAAGAAAGAAAAATTAAAGTAGACTCCATGGAAAAAGCTCAAGAATTCTATGAACGATTGATAGGCCATGAAGAATCGAGTAGTAGAGACGAATTAGAAACGAATTCGCAAGATGACCAAGACTATCAAAAAAATAGAGATGGGAATCATAGGAATTCGAAAAACAAACATCAAGAGAGAGAAGAACCGAAGATGCACAATCAGCCACAAAGAGAGACAGGAGTAACTACAAGACAAAGAGCAAGAGTTAATTAGGTGATGGACGAAGAAAAGAAAATACTATCAATTAACATAAATGGCCTAAACTCTAGGATAAAAAGGAAAAGAATATTAACCAAATTAATTAAACAAAATGCAGATATAATATGTTTACAGGAAACTCATATAAGGAAGGAAGAAGAAAAATATCTAGAATGCCCCAAGCTAGGGAAGTTGTACACGTCGCCAGCAGATTTTAGGAAAAAGAAAGGGATAGCAGTATATGTGAAAGACGATATGAAAGCAGAGCCAATTTGGATAGACCCCAATGGAAGAATTCTGGTGTTACAAATTTGGATTAAATCAATTCCAATTCTTCTAGTGGTAATTTATGCCCCTAACGATAACCAAAAGGAATTTTTTAAACAATTACATGGGAAAATAGTGGAATTAGATAAAAGGAATATTTGTATCTTGGGGGATTTCAGTGCTATTGTGGACCACCAGAAAGATCACAGTAGTGGGGGGGGGGGGAGAGAAGAAAAAAAGAGAACTACCGAAAACATGTGAAGAAATGATGATTGAACTAAATTTGATAGATATGTGGAGGAAATTGAACCCTGAGAAAAAGCAATTTACATTTTACTCCAGTCCTCACCAATCATGGACACGAATCGATATGGTGTGGATGAATGGTGAATTAGTAAATGAATTAAAAGAGACTGAAATTTTACCAAACGAATGGGCAGATCACAATCCGATTCAGATAGTGTGAAAAGGTAGGAAGAAACCAAGGAAAAGGTGGACCCTAAATACACAGCTAATTAAAGAGAAAGAGTTTATGAATAGACTTGACGAGGAATTAGACTATTTTTTAAAAGAAAATAATAATGAGGCAACTACGAAACAGAATATTTGGGATACAATGAAGGCAATAATAAGAGGCACAATGATATCATACACTGCTAAAAGAAATAAAGAAAAATATGCCCAACAAAATAAATTAGAACAAAGAATCAAAGAATTGGAAATTCAGCTGCAAAACACCCCAAAAGATTGTAAATTGAAAAAACAGATGATAATAACCAAACATAAATTAAATTTAATCGAACAAGAAGGAATGGCTTCAAAGTTGAATACAGCCAGACAGATATTTTTTGAACAGGCCAATAAACCAGGAAGGTGGTTGGCCTACAAACTTAAAAAAGAAAAACAAAAAAGATTGATCTACCAATTAATAGATGAGAACGGGGATGCCCAACAAGGGATAGAACAGAAAAAAGAAACTGCATGTAAATTTTTTGAAGATCTTTATAAAATGAGGACATGATAAGAAACTATTTGGGTATTACTAAAGATAAAATAATCAAGGAGGAGATGAAGGAAATGTTAACTAGAGACATTACGTGGCCCGAGTTAAAAGTAGCAATAGAAAACCAAAAGAACAATAAAACCCCAGGACCCGATGGGATACCAGGGGAACTTTATAAGAAAATAGGAGAACAAATAGGACCTCTCATGGTGGAAGTATATAATGAGGTCCTACTAGCAGCAAGAATGCCAGATTCATGGAAGGAGACACTGATATCGTTGATTCCAAAAGAAGATTCAGATTTACGACTTATACAAAATTATAGACCAATTTCCCTGTTAAATACTGATTATAAAATATTTACCACAATTATAGCAAATAGATTGAAAAAAATATTGAATGAACATATACATAAAGATCAAAACGGATTTCTTCCCAATAGACAAATTAGGAATAATTTAAGAATAGTATTAAATGTTTTGGAATACTATGAAGCCCACCCGGAAAAACAAATAGCCCTTGTATTCTTGGATGCACAGAAGGCCTTTGACAATCTAAATTGGCAATTCCTAATCCAACAAATTTACAATATGAATTTAGGCACTAAATTTGAAAACATCGTGACTACAATTTATGATTCACAAAAGGCGAATATTATAATTAATGGAGAGTACACATGCTCAATAAAAATAGAGAAAGGAATCAGGCAGGGATGTCCATGATCTCCCCTGCTCTTCATATTATCTTTGGAAACATTGTTTACACAAATTAGACAGAACCCAGGAATAAAAGGACTAAAAATTAAAAAAGAAGAATATAAACTCCAGTCATTTGCGGATGATATGGTATTTTTCATAGAGGAACCAATTGAAACAGGTCAAGAACTATTGAAAGAGTTAGATCAATTTGGGGAAGTTGCAGGACTTAAAATTAATAGGAAAAAACGAAATTAATAACTAAAAATTTAACAGAAAAACAAAAACTAAAATTGGAAAGGATAATGGGACTACAAATAGTAAAAAAAGTTAAATACTTAGGAATTTGGTTCACGGCTCAATGCAAAACTCTAATGGAAAATAATTATAATAAATTATTACAGCAAGTCAAAAAAGATTTAGAGATATGGGTTAAATTGCAAATCTCCCTATTAGGGATGATTGCCACTATAAAAATGAACATTCTGCCCAAATTTATTTACTTATTCCAAACAATACCAATAAAAATACATAAAAATTACTTTGTGGAACTTAACAAGATAATTACTAAATTTATTTGGCAAGGGAAAAAACCGAGGATAAACCTAAAGGCAATGCAAGATATGAAGTGCAGGGAAGGTATGGCACTCCCAAATTGGGAATTATACTATAGTGCAGCCTCATTACTTTGGTTGAAAGAGTGGGTAAATCTGTCGAATAAAAGAATCTTATTTCTAGAAGGCCACGATTTACAGAGGGGATGGCACGCATTTTTATGGGACACTGGAAAAGTTAAGCAGAAGTATTTCCACAAACATATAATTAGAGATTCCTTATTGGCTAATTGGAACAAAATAAAAAAAATATTATTTAAAAATTCCAATCTGGATCTCAACGATGGAGGCGATGATACATCCAAATAATCTAGATCTTAATAAAATGATAAAATACAAAAACCTTCCTGATGCGCAAGGAACTTTAAAATCATGGCAAGATCTCCAAGAACAAGGGCTACAAGTAGACCGGTGGGTTTATTTGCAAATTCAAAATAGATATAGCCAGGACAAGAAAAAATTTGGAATTTGGAATGGAGGTATATTTCCAGTTTTATATATTAAGAATTCCTACTTGTACTAGCTTGTACAGTAATAAAGTTCCAATTTTTATTTAAAGTTCTTTAGCCAGTAATCCTAAAAGGTCAATCTCTGGTTTTCAATAGATGCAGAGAGATAACTCACATTTGCACACACACAAAAAAAAAACCTAGGAAGGAGATGAAAAAGAGACAACTCCTCTCCAACAGCCAATAGATAAGCAGGGATCAGCACCAGACAAACAAACAGGCAGAAAACAATCCTCCAATCAGAGAACCACCCAGGAGGGAACTACACAATCTCTGGCAGAGCATCTAACAGGCAGCCAATCCCCCCTCTCTTTTGCACTGAGGATGTTACCTAGCTGAATAATGAAATGTCTCCAAGCAAACCAAACATCGAGGGCCCCAACGACACCAGAGTTTAACCCAACCTCCAGATATTCTCTTCTGTGGACTACAGTCTCTTTCAAATGCCTGCCCCAGGACTACAAATCCCATCTTCCTCAGTTGACCCCAAGGTTTGTCCATTTCCCTCTCCTTCTCCCCCCTCTCCCAATCTTGATCAACTGGATTCTTTGTGGTTCACAACATCCACCTGGTACAAGCAGCTTCTCCTTCCTCCCCTCTGAACCCCCAGAAAATGTCAGTTCCCTCTTGTGGAAGGAGGGACCACACACTCCACCTTCCGCTGAGTGTCCAAAATTCAGGGAGGGAGGGAATTTATCTCACCCAGTTACCTAGTTTGGTAATTCAATGTCTCCAAGGAAACAACCAAGCTCAGTAGCCCCTAAGGACCCCAGAGTTGAACTAAGCTCCAAATAATCTCTCCTGTTGCAATAGGATAGGATAGAATTCTTTATTGGCCAAGTGTGATTGGGCACAAAAGGAATTTGTCTTTGGAGCATAAGCTCTCAGTGTACATAAAGAAAAAATAAAATACACTCATCAAGAATCACAAGATACAACACTTAGTGATAGTCATAGGTTACTAAAAAGCAATCAAATCATAGTAGGGAACAAATAAAACAATGTAAATTGTAAAGATACAAGCGACACGGTTATAGTCATAAGTTGGAAGAGATGGGTAACAGGAAGGATGAGAAGAACTTACTAAGGCTTTATAAAATGGTACTAATACTTCACGTGATTTTGATTCTATGCTTCTGTTTATACAATCAAGGATTATATTAGCTTGTTTGGCTGCTGCCACACACACGTGACTCATGTTTAAGAGATCCATTCGGACTCCCAAGGTCCCTCTCATAGTTACTGTTTTTGAGCCAGGTTTCTGTAATCTGTTTTAACTGCCCAGGTGTAAAATCTTACTTTTCTCCACATTAAGTTTCATTTTGTTGGATTCAACCTTGTCTCATTTCGATCAGAAAGGCACAATATGCACACACATACAAATCTATAGAGACATGGTGGGTCAGTGGTTAGAATGCAGTACTACAGAGGCTGATTGTCCACAGCCAGGAGTTGGATCCTGACCAGTTCATGGTTGATTCAGTCTTTCATCCTTCTGAGGTCCCTAAAATGAGGACCCAGATTGCTGGGGACCATATGCTGACTTTATAAACTGCTCAGAAAGTATGGTAAAGCATTGTGGAGTAGTATATAGGTCTAAGCAGAATTGCTATTGCTATATTTCTCCCAAGCATGGATCCTTTTATGAGAAGTAAGATGACCATTGTGAACAAAACTATCTCCACATACCATGCATTTATATGGCTTCTCTTCTCAGTGGATCTTTTTGTGTCTTCTAAGATCACTGCCACGAGTAAACATCTTTTCACACTCCATGCATTTATATGGTTTCTCCCCTGTGTGGCTTCTTTTATGGGAAATAAGATTACGTTTATGAGCAAAGTTCTTTCCACATTCCATGCATTTAAATGGCCTCTCTCCTGAGTGGATCTTTTTGTGGTTTCTAAGACCACTGCCACGAGTAAACGTCTTTCCACACTCCATGCATTTAAACGGCTTCTCCCCTGTGTGGCCTCTTTTATGAGAAATAAGATCACCTTTTTGAGCAAAGGTCTTTCCACACTCCATGCATTGATATGGCTTCTCCCCTGTGTGGATCATCTTATGAGAAATAAGATGACCTATTTGACCAAATGACTTTCCACATTCCATGCATTTATATGGTTTCTCCCCTGTGTGGCTTCTTTTATGAGAAATAAGATAACCTTTTTGAACAAAGGTCTTTCCACACTCCATGCATTTATACGGTTTCTCCCCTGTGTGGATCCTTTCATGGGAAGTAAGTGCACTGCTCTGAGCAAAGGTCTTTCCACATTCCATGCATTTATATGGTTTCTCTCCTGAGTGGATCTTTTTGTGGCCACTAAGGCCACTACTATAAGCAAAGGTCTTTCCACACTCCATGCATTTATACGGCTTCTCCCCTGTGTGGATTATCTTATGGGAAATAAGATTACCTTTTTGAGCAAAGGTCTTTCCACACTCCATGCATTTAAAAGGCTTCTCCCCGGTGTGGATCCTTTTGTGTATTTTTAGCTCACTGTTATGACCAAACATCTTTCCACACTCCATGCATTTATACGGCTTCTCCCCTGTGTGGATCCTTTCGTGGGAAGTAAGTGTACTGCTATGAACAAAGGTCTTTCCACACTCCATGCATTTATACGGCTTCTCCCCAGTGTGGATCATCTTATGTGAAATAAGATTACCTCTTTGAGCAAAGGTCTTTCCACACTCTATGCATTCAAATGGTTTCTCCCCTGTGTGGATCATCTTATGGGAAATAAGATTACCTCTTTGAGCAAAGGTCTTTCCACACTCTATGCATTTATATGGTTTATCCCCTGTGTGGATCGTCTTGTGGGAAATAAGATTACCTCTTTGAGCAAAGGTCTTTCCACACTCCATGCATTTGTAGAGCTTCTCTCCTGTGTGGATCCTTTCATGGGAAGTAAGTTCCCTGCTTGTTCTAAAACATTTTCCACATTCCAAACATTTATAAGGCTTCTCTTTTGTGTCAATCACTTTTTGAGATGTAAGGAAGTTATTCCCAAGAGAAAGACTTAATGTCCCAGTGTAATTCTGTCCGTTGTGTCTTCTTATAGCATCTTCTCTTTTGTTTTGGGTTAAATAGTGTTCATTTACTTGTACTTCAGCTTTGATTAGCTTCATACTTTTCCCAGTATATTTTTTCCTTATTTTCTCTTGTTGGACAAGAAAGTCTTGCATCGGAGCATCACTGGAAGATGAGCTTTCCTGGTTGCAATTCTTTGACTCGTTTCTCTTGTGGCTTTCAAATTCCATTTGAATTCCAAACTTCTCAGTTCCATCTTTAGCATTGATCACTTGGAACACTTCACAGGAATCTTGATTCTCCTGCACATTATTACCTTCAAAGCAAAAGGGAAATGAAAATGAGAACAAGGTTAGAGAAAAAGATCAAAGTATAGCAAGTCAAGTGAATTTCCTTCTGAATTTCTCCGAAATTCCATTAGGTTGTATATTTGCATGCCTACAGTGGTGTTATATAGACATGATGGTTTCTATATTCATGAGTCATGAAATCTTTGAAAATATCCAAAAACATCTCTTTCTTTACAATTATCTCTATATATGCAAATCTCACTCAGAGTCAGTTTTGAATTAAGGAATGGAATAGAATAACGGAAGGGACCTTGGAGGTCTTCTAGTCCAATCCCCTGCTTAGGCAGGAAACCCTACACCACTTCAGACAAATGGTTATCCAACATCTTCTTAAACATTTCCAGTGTTGCGGCATTCACAACTTCTGGAGGCAAGTTGTTCCACTCATTAATTGTTCTAACTGTCAGGAAATTTCTCCTTAGTTCTAAGTTCTCTCCTTGATTAGTTTCCATCCATTGCTTCTTGTCCTGCCCTCAGTTGCTTTGGATCCACTGATGGTCCGCGAGAAAATTTTGGTGGTCTGTAGAGAAATGTCACCCTCAAAGCAATTAATCCAGGCTGTGTGGGAACATAAGTCTTGCGTAGCTTGCATTGTGAACAACAGGAGGTAGTGAGGAGGGGGGGGGAATGTGGAAGGGGGGAACTTGCCAGACGTGCCCCACACACCTGGCCTGGCCACCCGGCTGCTTCTTTCCACTTCTTTCTTCTGCTTTTGGCTGCACACAAGGAAAGCAGCAAAAGTCTTACTTTCTCTCCCCCAAACACCATCAGAAATGAGTCTTTGGGACCGTGCAAGGCATTCTGCTCGCGGTGTATGGGGGAGAGAAAGAAAGACTTCTGCTGCTTTCCTTGCATGAAGCCAAAAGTCTCTCTCTCTCCCCCTGAGAACACTGGAGACTGTATCCTGCAATCCCAAATAAAGGATGATCGATCAGTAGGAAAACGGGGTGGGGAATTTTCCTACAGACTTTTTTGGGGATTTTCTCAGGGTCTCTGGTCTGTGGAATTTAAAATTATGAGTTTGGTGGTCCCTGAGGTCCAAAAGGTTAGCAACCCCTGCTCCAGGGGACACATAAAAGCACACCTCGTTCTTTTCAGCTTCCACAGGTAAGTTCAAATAGAAATGGAAAAATACAGATAACAAATGGCACAGAAAGCATCTAAGCAAAGAGACGTTGACTTTTTCCTTCCTTGGAGCATGACAAGGCCAGATTCTTTCCTTCTCCCTCCCAGGAGACAATATCTGATCAGTGGTTTTTTAATAAAAAAAAAAACTAACTATAATCTCTCTTTTGATTGGGGAGTAGAAAACTCTTACCCAGAGAGACCACATTCCTATGGTTTTCAAGCATGACTTCCGAATGCAGCGCTTTCTGGTCAGGATTCAGCTGAGACCATTCCTCCTCAGAGAAATACACAGCCACCTCCTCGAAGGACACCAGACCCTCCTGGACACGGAAAAAAGAACAGAACAGGAGGATTCACAAGATCTGTTCATCTTCATCATTGATTTAGACAAGAGGATAGAAGGGGAACTCATCCAATTTGCCAACAAGACCAAATTGACAGGAATACCAACACTCCAGAAGATAAGCTCGAGATATAGAAGGATTGACAGATTGGGCCCCATCTAACAAAACTAAATCAACAGTGAGAAATGTAAGCTTCTACATTTAGGAAAGAAAAACCAAATGCACAGGCATAGAATAGGTGATACCTGGATCAACGGTAGTAAGTGCAACAGGGATCTTGGAGTCCTAGTGGACAACCACTTAAACCTGAGTCAACAGTTTGCTACATTTGCCCCCCACCCCAAAACCCCAACAGAATCATAGGCTGCATTAAGAGGGATAGAATCAAGATGACATGAAGTGTTAGTACCACTTCATAATGCCTTGGTAAGACCACATTTGGAATATTGCATGCAGTTTTGGTTGCCAGATATAAAAAAGATCTTGAGACTCTAGAAAGAGTGCAGAGAAGAGCAACAAAAATTATTAGTGGTCTGGAGACTAAAACATATAAAGAACAGTTGCTGGAATTGGGTATGTCGAGTTTCATGAAAAGGAGGACAAGGGGGTGACATGATAGCAGTGTTCTACGAAGCAATGGATGGAAACTATTCAAGGAGAGAACCAACCTACAAGTAAAGAGAAATTTCCTGACAGTGAGAACAATTAATCAGTGGAAGGACTTCCCTCCAGAAATTGTAGGTGCTCCAACACTGTTGGTGTTTATGAACAAGTTGGACAGCGATTTATCTGAAATGTTATAGGGCTTCCTGTCTTAGCAGGGGGTTGGACTAGAAGACCTCCAAGATCCCTACCAACTCTGTTATTCTGTTCCATTGTTCCCAAATTCCCAAAGCAGAGATATGCACTAAGTTAAATGGCTGTGCGTGGCAGAAGAACACATTTTAGGTGAGCAAATGGGCAAATCTGAAAATTGCTTTCAGTGAAGAAATATTTGGGGAAGTTTTATCAAGTTCATCGATTCTGCAAAACATTCAGTGCCTTTCAGCAAAGTAATCCCACTTCTGGATCAACTGATCTATCGCTCTGTCTATCGTTGATTGACCTAGTAGTCTGAGCCATTGGCTGAAAGGAAGAAAGCAAAGAAGAGAAAATTCCCCGGGAAAGTCATTTCTCAGCTGTTGCAAAGCAGGAATGTTTGATCTCCTAAGCGAGGCGCAAATCAGAGGACTGGAAATTTGTTTTGTAGCCAAAGTACCAGTCCTTCTGCTCTCTTCCTCCCCCCCCCCCCCCCGGGAATCCTGGCTTTCAAAGGCTGCCGAGGGCTCCGAGGTTCTGAATCTCGGAGGGAGAGAAAAACCGACGCCTAGGATCAGCCCCTGGACCCCCTTCCCCCAACCTGCCCGCAGTCGAAGCGGCTCCTCCCAGCGCAGGGCCCAGGCCACCCACCCCAGCAGGGCCGGGAAGGATGCAGCTGAAGAGGCCGCGACCGCCCCCCCCCCCCCCCCCCCCCCCCCCCCCCCCCC